GATAACATTTACAATCAGGAGCTCCTCAGTTGCTCATTCCACCACTGAGTTTGCAATGACTTATGGGTAGAAAAGCCATACTAAGTAATTTACTATAATGCACAGGCCCAACCAAGTTGACACACAAACTTAACCACCACACTGGGAAATACAGTGTTTTCTGGGTGGCCATTGGCCCAATTGAAATTCACTACCTATGGAAAAAGGAGAGGACAGACATTGAGGGATAACTAGCAATTTCTGTCATAGTTGGTAAATTGCTTGAGAAACTGGTAACCCCCATCAGTCCCTATATCTTTGCCAAAAGAAACAGAGAAGTCTTATAGCAGGTTTGGCTGATAACAAAAACCAAAATGGCACTGGCTTAAACAAGATGGAAGTTTATTCTTTCCCATATAACAATCTGGGTGTGAGCATCTAGGGTACTCTGATGTGAATGCATTTCCTATTACTGCTATAACAAATTACCACACACAGTGACTTCCAAAAACACAAATGTAGTATCTTAAGGTTCTGGAGGTCAGAAGTCTAATGAGTCCACAGGACTATGTTCCTTCTGGAGCCTCCAAGAGAGAGCCTGGTTCTCCCCTTACCCATTCCAGCTCAAAGGCCACATGCATCTTTGGTTCGTGGCCCCTTCCTCTGTCTTCCGAGACAGCAGTGTAGCACCTTTAAATCTCTTTCTCTGTCCCTCTGCTTCCATCGACAGTTCACGTGTGTCTCACTCTGTCTCCTCTTGTGTCTTACAAGGACCCTTGCAATGACGTTGGGCCCACCTGTATAATCCAGGAGAATGTCCCCATCTCAAAATCCTTAACTTCATCATGTCTGCAACATCCCCTTTGCCATGTAAGGTAACACTCAAGGGTTCCAAGAATTATGACATGGACATCCTTAAAACCTACTGCCATCGAGTCAATTCCAACTCAAAGCAACCTTATAGGACAGAGTAGGACTGCCCCATAGGGTTTCCAAGGATATAAATCTTTATAGAAGCAGACTGCCTCATCTTTCTACCATAGAGTGGTCAGTGGGTTTGACCACCAGCCTTTTGGTTGGCAGCTGAATGCTTTAACCACTGCGCCAGAACTCTTTTGGACATCCTTGCAGGGGGCATTATTCAGTCTACCACATGGCAGCTTCACATGGAGACCTAGACTCCTTCAATCTTGTAGCCTCACATCGTCAACATTTGTCTTCTCCCCTGTAGTCCAGCATTACCTCCACAACCAGCCAGTGGGAAGTTGTTATTGCCATTAGGTGCCATTGAGTCATCTCTGACTCATAGCGACCCTATGCACAGCAGAACAAAATACTGCCCAGTCCTGCACCAGCTCCATGACTCTTGCTATACTTGAGCCCATTGCCACTGCCACCATGTCAATCCATCTCACTGAGGGCCTTCCCCTCTTTCGTTGACCCTCCACCTTACCAAACATGACATCCTTCTCCAGCGAATGGTCTGACAACATGACCAAAGTGTGTGAGACAAAGTCTGGCCATTCTCACCTCCAAGAAGCATTCCCACTGTACTTCCTCCAGGACAGATTTGTTAGTTCTTTTCACAGTCCATGGTACTTTCAGCATTCTTCACTAACACCACATCTCAAAAGGATCAATTCTTCTTTGGTCTTCCTTATTCATTATCCAGCTCTCACATGCATATGAGACAACTGAAAATACCATAGCTTGTGTCAGGCACACTTTAGTCCTCAAGGAGACATCTTTGCTTGTCAGCACTTGAAAGAGGTCCTTTGCAGCCAATTCTCTCAGTGCTATATGTTGTCTAATGTCCTGACTGCTGCTTCCATTGGCATTAATTGTAAAATAAAGCAATGTGAAGTCTTTGACAACTTCAATCTTTCCTCCATTTATTGTGATGCTGCTGATTGGTCCAGTTGTGAGGATTTTTGTTTTCTTTATATTGAGGTGTAATCCATATTGTAGACTGTATTCTTCAATCTTCATCAGGAAGTGCTTCAAGTCATCCTCACTTTCAGCAAGCAAAGTTGTGTCATCAGAGTATCACAGGTTGTTAATGATTCTTCCTCCAATCCTGATGCCACGTTCTTCTTCATATAGTCCAGATTCTCGGATTATTTGCTCAGCATAAAGATTGAATAAGTATGGTGAAAGGATACAACCCTAAGGCACTCCTTTCTTGATTTTAAACCATGCAGTGTTCCCTTTTCCTGTTCGAATGATAGCCTCCTGATCTGTATACAGGCTCCTCATGAGTATGATTAAGTGTTCTGGAATTCCCATTCTTCTCAATGTTATCCACAGTTTGTTATGATCCACACAATCAAATGCTTTTGCATACTCAATAAAACACAAGTAAACATCTTTCTGGTGTTCTTTGCTTTGAGCCAAGATCCATCTGACATCAGCAATGATATCCCTCATTCCACGTCCTCTTCTGAATCCAGCTTGCATTTCTGGAAGTTCTCTGTCAATATACTGCTGCAACTATTTTTGAATTATCTTCAGTAAGATTTTACTTGTGTACAATATTAATGATATTGTTCTATAATTTCCACTTTCTGTGGGATCACTTTTCTTTTGGATACAAATGTGGATCTCTTCCAGTCAGTTGGCCAGGTAATTGTCTTCCAAATCTCTTGTCATAGTCAAATGAGTGCCTCCAGTGGGGCATCCGTTTGTTGAAACATCTCAGTGGGTATTCCATCAATTCCTGGAGCTTTGTTCTTTGCCAATTCTTTCAGTGCAGCTTTGACTTCTTCTTTCAATATCGTTGGTTCTTGAACATATGCCACCTCCTGAAATGGATGAAAAATGACTAGTTCTTTTTGGTACAGTGACTCTATGTATTTCTTCCATCTTCTTTTGATGCTTCCTGCATCACTCAATATTTTGCCCATAGAATCTTTCAAATATTGCAGCTTCAGGCTTAAATTGTTTCCTCAGTTCTTTCAGCTTGAGAAATGTGTTCTTCCCTTTTGGTTTTCTAACTTCAGGTCTTTGCACATTTCATTATAGTAATTGCCTTTGTCTGCTCGAGCTGCTCTTTGAACTAACTCTTCTGTTCAGCTCTTTTATCTTGTCATTTCTTCCATTTGCTTTAGCTATTCTTCACTCAGGAGCAAGTCTCAGAGTCTCTTCTTGCACCCATTTTAGTCTTTTCTTTCTTTCTTATATTTTTAATGGCCTCTTTCTTCATGGATGATGCTCTTGATGTCATCTCACAATTCTAGTTTTTGGTTCTTGGTGTTCAATGCATCAAATCTGTTCTTTAGATGGTCTCTAAATTCAGGAGGGATATATTCAAGGTCATATTTTGGCTCTCGTGGACTTTTTTTAATTGTCTCCAACTTCAAGTTGAACTGCATATGAGCAGTTGATGATCTGTTCCACAGTCAGCTCCTGGCCTTATTTTGGCTAAAGATATTGAGCTTTTCCATCACCTCTTACCACAGATGTAGTCAATCTGACTCCCATATACTCCGTCTGACAAAATCCATGTGTGTAGCCGCCATTTGTGCTGTTGAAAAAAGGTATTTGCAATGAATAAGTCATTGGTCTTATAAAATTCTGTCATGCTATCTCCAGCATTATTTCTGTCATCAAGGCCAAATTTTCCAACTACCGGTGATTCTTCCTTGTTTCCAATTTTTGCATTCCAATCACCAGTGATAATCAACACATCTTGATTATATATATTCAGTCAATTTCAGACTGCAAAAGTTGATAAAAATCTTTAATTTCTTCATCTTTGGCTTTGGTGGTTGGTGCATAAATTTAAATAATGGTAGTATTAATGGGTCTTCCTTGTAGGCATATGGATAGAATCCTATCACTGACAGCATTGTACTTCAGGACAGATCTTGAAACATCCTTTGTGATGATGAGTGTCATGCCATTCCTCTTCAAATTGTCATTCCCAGCATAGTAGATCATATGGTTGTCTGATTCAAAATGGCCAAAACCAGTCCATTTCAGCTCACTAATGCCTAGGATATCAATCTTTATGCGTTCCATTTCATTTTTGACAACTTCCAATTTTCCTAGATTCATATTTCATACATTCCATGTTCCAATTATTTGTGAGTATTTGTAGCTGCTTCTCTTCATTTTGAGTCGTGCCATATCAGCACATGGAGGTCCTTAAAGACTTACTTTATCCATGTTATTAAGATTGGTTCTACTCTGATGAGGCAGCTCTTTCCCAGTCCTATTTTGAGTGCCTTCTGACCCAAGGGGCTTGTCTTCCTGCACTGTGTCGGTCAATGTTTCCAAGCTATTCATAAAGTTACCCAGTAATGTATCAGTCAGTGTTACCCTGGCCAATTTTTTTTTCTCAGTTTTTTGAGAAGTGGGTGGCCTCTTCCTTCTTCCTAGCCTGTCTCAGTCTGTAAGCTGGGTTGAAACCTGTGCACCATGTACAACCCTGCTGGTGTTTGAAACACCAGTGGCACAGCCTTAAGCCTCACAGCAATGTGCAAGCCCCACAGGATGACAAACTGACAGACAAGTTTGTCTCCCTTAGCTGTTGGAAACCTCTGCATCCTCCCCTTACCTAATCCCTGCCTGGATCCTGCTACTCTGTGATCCCTGGCTGCTCCCTCCCTTTCCTGGCTCTAGGGAGAAAGTAGGAAAGTGGATATGAAATACTGCCTAGAAGTCACACCTGCTACTTGCCTCCACATCCCTTGACCATGACTCAGCTATGTGACCACACCAAGCTACAAGGGAGTTTGGGAAACTTAGCCTTGAGCTGTTGTTGTTGTTGTTATGTGCTGTCGAGTCGGCCCCAACTCATAGCGACCCCTCCTTGGGTTTCCGAGGCAGTATCACTACAGAAGTAGGATTGCCCAACCTTCCTTCCGAGGAGTGGCTGGTGGGTTTGAACCACCAGCCTTCTGGTTAGCAGTCAAGTGCTTTAGCCACTATGCTACCAGAGCTCCTAGCCTTGAGCTATGCTTGAGTAATTTTAGAAGGATCAGTTGGTCCTCATAGTTGGTCCCTATGAGGCAGATGTTAAAGATGTCCTAAATGTCCAATTTTTCTAAACTGCTGTGCCACTCCATCATCTCTGACATCAACTCCTCCTCCTCCCCTCAGTACTCTCCTTCTTGTCTTAGGGTTCTGTATTTCACTGTAATTTCTCACAGAACTCACAAACTTCCAAGGAAACAGTGCATGTAGTGGTGGTGGAGGCTAGGAGGCTGGCAAGTCCCAAGTCTGTGGTTAGGTCTGGAGGATTCTCCCAATTCACATGGTTGTAGGGTCTGGCGAAACCAAAATCAGCAGTCGGTCAGGTGACCAGCTGCTGTCTCAAGTCCAGGGTGAGATGATGATGAACCAAATGCAGGACTAGAGCAAGAGAGAGAACTTCCCCAGAACATTCATATATATACCATCAAGGAGGCTAAGCGTGGTGACTTGAGTCAGACCCTCCCACAAGGTGGGACTCGAGGTGCATCCCACCCTAAACAGGCATAGAGACTAGAATTTACAATACATGACAAAATGGAGGATGATGGCTAGAAGGGCCACACCAGGATTTCCATTACCAGAGGACAAAAGGGAGGAGGATGTTGGGAGACAACTAGCAGCCTCTGCCACAAAGACTGGCAGAATTTGAATATTATTTAATGGAGGATTTTCTATTATAACAAATGAAGTAGAGGTGAAGATACATGTGTTGTGATAAAAATAACAGAAAAGAATATGCTGGTAAAACCAGACTCGGCCTCCAAAGCTCATCTGCCCCTTCCCCCTCCTTCCATGTAGAATTTGTACCCAAATACCCCAGGTAGCTTTCTTCTCCTTTACAGCCAGCCTTCCCTTCACAGCAAGCAGCCTTGTCTACAAGTTATAACTTACTGCCTTCTCCTTATAACTTAAAGCCAATATTTTACGTCCCACTTTGCTGTCTAGAAACAAACACTGGTCCCTCCCAGGTCACCCTCGGCCTTTTCACCTGTCACACTTGTGGGTGCCTTCCTCCTAATCTCCTGGCTCCAGAAGGGGCCCCACTTCACTGTAATCTTCTGCCACAAAGTAGACAAGTCCAAGAAAAGGAGCACATGTAACTGACTAGTCCTGTCTCCTGGGGAAGGTCAGAGTGGTAGCTGGATAATGGTCTAAGATGAAAGGAATTAACCCAGCCCAGAGGTGGCTGTCAGCCTCAGAGGAAGCCAATTCCTATGGCAGGTGCCCTTCTGCAGAAATGAGGGCCCTGGCTCTCTTGATTAAAACACCAGAACTCAGGGGCCAGGAATAGCACATGCTTGATTCATTAAGCATGAGTCAGGCACTAGACGTGTTCAGAGGCCCTCATCAGGGCTCTGTCTCCTCCAGACACCTGTGTCCTTTCTCCCCCAGGGCCGGCGACCTGTCACCTTGATTGGCTTCAGCCTGGGAGCCAGAGTCATCTACTTCTGTCTGCAGGAAATGGCTCAGGAGAAAGGTGAGTCTCGCTTATTGTCACAGATGAAAACCCCTCCCAATTTTATCTTCTGGGCCAGAAGTCCTGAACCCAGTGGTCCCAAACCTTGTAATGTGTCTGCAGGTCTTAGAAATGAAAGTGAAAAGTTTGTGTTGGAAAATAAGTTATGTTCTGTATGTAATTTAGAGTGGATAATAATGACACAGGCCCCTGACTTCTGATGCGCCTACTCGAGTTGGAGAGAAGGGAATGGATGCTATGTGTTTCTCAGTATGTAGGATTGTTGGCATTTTGAGCAGCGTGGGAAAAACCACACACATGTGCACACACACACACACAAACATACTACATTACAAGAGATTTAGCCCCCCTGGCCTCAACTGTTAAATTCCAACAGCCCCTCCAATCACTGTGGCAACCCAGAATGCCACAACACATTTGTAGGTGTCCCTGGGGGGCGGCAATAGAAGGATACAGGCTCCATTTTAGAGTTGTGCGGCTGGTGTGACAGTGAGTGTGCTCTGGGTATGTGCATAACTATCTGGGGACACTCTTAGCAGTGTGTTACGCCATCCAATGTCATCCTTTCTATTCTGAGACAGCAGAAAGATTGAGGGCGACTGTCCCCAACCTTGGGTGAGTAAAGTTTGTAGACAGGATGATGGTTGGAGACAGATCTGTCATCAGAGGGCTACTGGTCGGAGGGGGCTGGGGGCATTGAGTTGCAGAGCATGGGGCATTTGGGGCAGACACACATGTGCCCGACTCCTGGTAGAGCATGGCAGTGGCAGGGTTCGAAGGGCAAGAGAAGAAACTGAGAAAGGAGCTCCCTCGTCTGAGAGCAGAGGGTGGATGGAGAGAGGAGGCTGGAGCCACAGCCAGCACTGGTCTTACTGCATGGCCCTCTGATTCTGTTTGCTCACGTATAAAATTGAATGAATGCTTAACTCAGGAGGTTGCTTTGAGGATTAATTGAGGTGCCCATGTACAGTACTTTGCCCATTTGAAACCCATTGTTGGCAGAGTTCAGCCAAGGATGCCATTGTGCCACTTCTGCTCTTCAGTCTCTTCCACCCTGAGGCTCCCCTTGAAAATGGCCCTGCCATGCTGTCCTTGACCAGCTTGTGAGACAATGGCTGCTCCAATTGCTGGCAAGCACAGAAGGGGTGCAGATGTCACCCAGCTGGACATGAGGGGGCTGGATGAGGCAGGGGTGGGCTGGTGGTATTTTCAGCATCACCAGAGGACCCTGGGACCTCTGAGACTTAGGACCATGACTCATCACTGCCCCTTTTCTTCTGCAAATATCTCTCCCAGACTTGGGACCAGGTTACAAAGACACGGTGGGTGTGCTGTCCTTGGCATTCACTATGGAAGGGCCAAGCCCTGTGTGCGCTGCAGTGACCTCACCAACCTCTGTATGCCATTTTGGAAGACACGCTTCCTCCCCTGCTCCATTGTTGCTTTCACTTCTTTTTTTGCCTGGTTTTGTCCCCATCACTTAAAATCATGGGAGGCACCTCTGTCCTGCTTCCAGTAGCTTTGGGTAACTGTGGAGCCAGCTCTGGGTTGTGTTCATGAGGAAAATCCAGGCTGGGGTCAGAGGTCAGGCACAAACCACTAAGGAAGCAAAGGTGAATCTGGGGCTCTGGTCAAGGTGGCTTTCCATGTCTACCTTGAGAACACTATACCTTCCCTTTCTGTATCCATTCTTCCTCCTACCAGGCACCACCAGAGATAGAGCAAATCAAAAAGACACCCATTACCTGCCTTTCCTGCTCAACCTGCTACCAGTAATCTGCCTGGGACTTGCTGGCCTGCTGGAAGGAATTCCCTAGAAAACCATAATTTCTCCCCATCACCAGCATTTCCCCAACAAATGACTCCTACATAATGTCCTGTTGAAAATTCTCACAATTTTGTATGAATGTGATTATAGTGCCAAAATCTCTAAGGGGGAAAAGCGGAGAGACAATATTTCTTAACACAGTAGAACACAGAGTCTTTGCTAATATGTGGGTTACAGAGAGCAGGACAGTCATATCAGTCATCTATTGATGCAGTAATGCTGCATAACAAACCAGCCCAAAACTCCATGGGTTACAACAAATATTTTCACGGTCAAAGTCTGTGGATTGGCTGTGTTGATCCAGGATGGGCTCTATGTCTAGGTCTGAATTGGATAGGCTTGCTCCCAGCCATAGGCTGGGCTTGGGTCAGCTCTACATGTATTTGTGCCGGGAGCCAGGTTGAAGGGGCAGCAGCCACCTAGAGCCATGCTCTTCTGTGGTAGGTCACTAGCATGCCAGTGCCAAGCCAAACCACATATACACATCAAAGACTACTGTTGATAGCACATTCACTTACCTTCTATATTAATTATTTATTGCCGGGGGTGGGGGGGACTCTTCAAACATATCATTGTTAGCTACTATCATGTTTGCTCCAACTCACAGTGACCTCACACAGATGAGACATCGCCTGGCCCTGTGATCTTTACAGTCACTGGTGTGCTCCAGCCCACTGTTACAGCCACTGGGCGTTTTGAGTGCCTTCCCCCCTGGAGCTCTTCTTTCAGCACTGTGTTGGATAATGTTCTGTTGTGATCCATAGGGTGTTCCTTGGCTAATTTTTAGAAACAGATCACCAGGCCTTTCTTCCTAGTCTGTCTTAGTCTGGAAGTTCTTATGAAACCTGTTCCCCACAGGTGACCCTGCTGATATTTGAAATATCAGTGGCATAGCTTCCAGTATTACAGCAACATGTGACTTAAAACAGCAATAACTGATTATTGGTTGCAGACTGTGGGTTGGATGGGCAGTTGTGTTCTCAGCTGCTGCCTTGTGTGTTTGTGGTCAGAGGGCAGCTGGGATGGCCAGGAGGTCCAAGTTGACCTCACTGGTGTGTCTGCAGTCAGTGCTGTCTGTTGGCCAGCAAGCTTCAGTCTTTCTCCAGATGGTTACTCATCCTCCGGTAGGCTTGACAGACCTCCCTACATGGGGTCTGAGGGCAGGGTCTCTAGGGGCAAGAGCAAAACCTAAAAGACCTCTTAAGGTCTTAGTTCCAAAAGCCTCACAATGTCACTTCCATCATATTCTAGTAGACAAAACAAGTTATAGACCTGACCAGATTCAAGGGGGTGGAGGCAAAACATACTTCTCCACTGGAGAACTGTAACCTTGGTTGGATAAAGACACAGCCTCTCTGGGCACCCATTTCCCCATTTGCAATGAGAGATTAATGTCACCTAACTCTCTGGATAGTGGTGAAGCAGAGAGCACAGAGGCCAGGTGGCAGCACAGAGGCAGGTGATAACCCAGTTGCCATCAAGTCAGCTCTGCCTGATGGTGACCCCATGTGTGTAAGGAGAACCGGGCTCCACAGGGTTTTCAGTAGCTGAAATTTTTGGAAGTAGACTACAGGCTCTTCTTTCAGGGCACCTCTGGGTGAACTCACACCTCCATCCTTTCAGTTAGCAGCTGAGCTTGCTGACTGTTTGCCTACCCAGGAATTGCTGTTGTTGTTGTTATGTGCCATCGAGTCAGACCTGACTCACAGTGACCCCTCCTTGGGTTTCCGAGGCAGTATCACTATGGAAGTAGCTTGCCCCATCTTCCTTCCAAGGAGTGGCTGGTGGGTTTGAACTGCCAGCCTTCTGCTTAGCACTAGTCAAGTGCCTTAGCCACTATGCTACCAGAGCTCACACCTGCTAGCTCTTGGTAAACACTCAATAAGGATATCCTCTCATTCCCAATACATCTTTCAGCTGTGTTCAGGCTGGGGCGCTTCCTGCCGGTCAAGGGGTGGCTGCAGCTCCTCCCAGCTTCTAAACTTGCCTCTTTCTGGGAAGGCCACTGAGAAGTATTAACATCATTTTACTCTTTTTGTAGTCATCTTTTCCCCAACCCATGCAGCCAGCCATCTGCCAGGCTTTTTGTTACCTCCAGTGATGTGGTTTTATTAATAGAACTGATTCTTAATTTAGAGAAGATGCATCTTTGGCTTCAATTAGAGTAAATGACGTGTTAACTTCAGATCATTAATACAAGAAAAGGCTTCAATTCCCCTTTGCAGCAAATTGAATTAATTACCATGTAGCCCTGGCAATCAGAAGTGAGATCTCTGGTCAGCTGCCTCCAGCATGAATGTGAAGGGGGTAGGCAAGGGGTCTCTCGGTGGCAGAACTGGTTAGGGTGACACTGAGGAGACAGTCCCTCACCACAGCCTTTTGGAGGCTGGTTCCCATAGCAGCTCCCTTCTGGCGTGTTTCCTGGTTCCTGTTCCACCCTTGGATCTTCATGGCCCACCTTCAAGCCTTTGGGCTTTGGTATTAGGCGGACCTGAATTTGTCTCCCAGCTCTGCCAACCTGTGGGACCTTGGGCAAGTCACTAAACCTCTTTCTGAGCCTCAGTTTCCCCACCTGAATATGGGGATCTTCCATGAGAAGACCTCAAAGGATCTTTTTCAAGGGATTAAAATGAGGTAATTGATGTGAAAGTACCTGGCCCTGATTTAAGTAGTCCATAAAATGATTTAAATGTTTCTTTCTCTGAACTCTGATCTGAAGGCCTATTGTCCTTAAAGCACCATGGTGAGTGAGTGTTTCCACAGATGTCAGTGCTTGTCATTTTGTGTCCACCTTCTGGCCTCCCCTCTTAGACCATGAACTCCAAGTAGGCAGGGTCTACCTTTTCCCACCATCTCTCCAAGGCTCAGGAAGATAGAAGAGCTTAACATTAGGCAAGGGAAACGTGCAGGGGCTGCTGTGCCAAAGCCCTAGACCCTGACCAATGGGCAGGAGGCAGAGGGAGGGGCATTCCAGAGAATCAGACCAGATGGGCAAGGGCAAGGTTCTTGGGCGTGTTCTGGAAATGATGAAGCCTATTGTTTCTGTAGGAGCTCTGGTAGCATAGTG